AGGTGCCCGTGTGTAGTGATTCCCCCTTCGGGCGATCCCACATGTGTACTCTTCCACGATACGGCTCCCCTCACGGTAAGCCCGTGTCTTTCCCTGGTAGTCGTTCTCTGTCATCTCTGTTGTGTAGTCGTCTCACCCCAGGCGGGTTGAGTCTACCGCAGGGACTTCCATATGTAGCACTGCCCTGGGCCAGTCCATATGTGTATTCCACATGATACCTCCTATGCGCAGGATGTGGCTTCCGTAGCGCTCCCAACTGGGTACGCTTTCCCAGTGTTATTCAATGTACCATTGTATGGAACAGCAGTGACTGACTGAAAGGGAACGTCTCGGTTACTTGTGTAACCCTCGTTCCCTGAAGGAGGGAAAGGAGACGTTACGTTCCGTCGCCACAGTTGCTGTACCACCGCTGTACGGCCGGGGCGCGTAGTCTTGGCTCCTCAGCGAAAAACTGATGTGCGCTCTCCTTTTATACCCGCGCTGCGAGGCGAGGTGCCCGTGGCAAAACACGCACGCCAACTGTCATTGGCTTGTTTAGTTTACACTCAAAGGTGATTGGGCTCTCGGGCGAGATCCCAATTCGTCAGTCACCACTGACGTAATGTCTCCATTCCCTCCTTCAGGGAACGAGGGTAACACAAGTAACCGAGATGTTCCATGCAAACTTCTTGTGTCATGACTTGTGAAAGCATTAAAACAGAAACATAATTTAAACAAAATGTTTTCAAAAGTTCATTTTCCAAATGAATCTGAAACTGTCTAAATATTCATTACTATTCATTCATTACAACTATTTGTTTGTATCATCATTCAAATATGTTCATGCTAGTCTCCAGTTGGCATTTTGTTTGCGTTCAAATACAAACCCGATTCCAAAAAAGTTGGGACACTGTACAAATTGTGAATAAATGTTGGGCACCTCATATTGAGGTTGTACATTCTTACATTACACACACTTGTTGATTGTAGGAATGATGACACCACACAATAGAGGATTTTTTTCAACATGTTTTCGATAATTTAGAGGTGCATATCGGGCTAACATTTGGCCTTAAAATCTTCAAGTGTGTGGCCAGCCTAATGAACAAAAGCCCTCATCCTGACATCTCTTACAGTTTATTAGGAAGCATAGTGACTTCTGTGGAATATGTCTTGTTAAGGCTCTATAAAAGGATGTGGGGCAATTTTAGACATGGCCCTGTACTTGCACTATACTTTATGCAGATTTTCATACATCAATTGTTAGTCAGCAAGGGAAAAACATATAAAAATCAACCATGGAGCAATTTAAGAAGGATTCATTTTCACTAGTACAACAAATTTCACTGCAAGCCATTTAGCAAAATAAATAAATAATACAATAATAATAAACAAATTAAGGTGTTACAACCATCTTAATACAGAAAAGCAGGGGCAACATCAGTCATTTTGATAGGAGGTGATTAATAAAAGCAGTAAAGAAGTCCATGACAACACTGTACAATATTCCATTAAAGCAGTGTTAAAAGTGGAAAAATGCTACCTTTGTATATTATTAGTCTTATTACATATACTACTAATAATACTTATTTACAGTTTATTGTTATTTTACACTGTAAACACCCTTTTATCTAATTTGGAATTAAAACTAATGCATAGTTCAGTCATGAAACTCTCCTGGGTAGCTGACTGGGTCTTCCAAGCTGGCAACACAGTCAAATCTATTAAACCAATTTTTCCTTTCTACGCAACCTTATTTATTTCCACCCCAACCTGGTCTAACTCAATACTGCATGCCTTTATCCCTCCTCCACCCCAGCACCACCAGTCTAGATCTACTACAGTAGTTTTCCCTATTTTTCCTAGCAACAGTAAAATGAATCCACTGCAATTCGAAGTATGTTTGAGTATTAAGTAAAAGTGGAATTGTATACATGAAAGCTAAAAGGGAAAGAAGCATATCAATTTCAGAACATTATCACAAAAAGATATGCTTGAGGGAAACAGTCATGGGTTTAAATTAAAAGTGCATGGTTTAAATATATATCAATCAATTTGTGGGGTATAATTGGAAGTAAAGATTTTATCACGTTTGCTGAAATACCATTTTCAATGTACTTTAGTCTATTACCCACCCCTAAATGTCACTTGAAAACAAGCAAAGTGTGATGGGTGGTTTAACATGTAGATTAGATGGTCTCTTCAGATCTAAAATAATTATTTTGGACAGAAAGTACAGGTTTACTGGTGTGCAAGAATTGTTCCAGTGTAGCCCAGTGCACCAGACTACTTTGAGTATTGATTAAAAGTCAGCATCTCATATTCTGATCATTTAAATAATCAATATGAAAAAAGATAACATTCAGAGTTTAAATAGCAATGAGTTTGTTCGTGGATCAGAGTGTTGGATAGTGAAATCCAGACACAAGATTATGTGTATGATTGTAGTTCCTCATTGCTATTTAAACTCTGAATGTTATCTTTTTTCATATTCTGACCATTTAAATAATCAATATGAAAAAAGATAACATTCAGAGTTTAAATAGCAATGAGGAACTACAATCATACACATAATCTTGTGTCTGGATTTCACTATCCAACACTCTGATCCACGAACAAACTCATACCAATAGTTGCTTACCCAAGGAACTGAGCTCCAGAGGGTCCAACCTCAATCAGCCTGCTAGCTAGACCGTCACCCTCTACCATGGGGGGCATGGTTGCCAGTCGGTGCCTTTTCACCAGTCTACAGGTGACTCGAGTAGGGGCACTGCATTTCCGCGGTGGAATGATCAGTCGTAGGCCATTGTGCCGGCATCCACGCATGGCACCTCCACGGGCATCCACCATGAAGCTTACTAAGAAACTGGATTGAGGACGTACAATGTTAAAATTAATTTTAAAAAGGCATCATATAATCAGATGAAGTAAGAGTTTAGTAACATTTAATAAAGAACCACTTAATGGAAACCATATGCATGTCATGAAATCACAAGTCACTTCGAAAGATGATCATGATATTCAAGCCTGGTCTCATTGTTTACGCGTATGTATTAGCACATAACATTTACTTGTACAAATTTTTTTTTTTTAATGTTTGGATAGATATTGAAATGTGACACTGGACCTTAAGTCTTAAGTCGCTGGGGTATATTTGTAGCAATAGCCAAAAAAAACATTGTATGGGTCAAAATTATTGATTTTTCTTTCAAGCCAAAAATCATTAGGATATTAAGTAAAGATCATGTTCAATAAAGATATGTTGTAAATGTCCAACCGTAAATATATTAAAACTTAATTTTTGATTAGTAATATGCATTGCCAAGAACTTCATTTGGACAACTTTTGTTTTTCCCAGTATTTTGATTTTTTTGCACCCACAGATTCCATATTTTCAAATAGTTGTATCTCGGCCAAATATTGTCCTATCCTAATAAACCATACATCAATGGAAAGCTTATTTATTCAGATCTATACATCTTAATTTCAGAAAATTGACCCTTATGACTGGTTTTGTGGTCCAGGGTCACAAATGTATAATAAGGATGAACTGACAACATCTAAAATGTAAACATTATTTGTGCATTTACAGCTATAAAAACTATAATATTAAAACCTAAAACTAAACATAACCACTGTTACAGAGTGTATAAAATAATGTATAAAATGTAACAAGACAGAAACATTTTATTTTCTTAAAAATAAAAGCTTGAATTTGATCAGGTTATGTTTGGTTTTATTTACGGTAATGTTGTACATTTTATTGTCTATGCAAACGTAAGTAAATGTACATAGAACCACACAAGGTAAAATACATACAAATACCTATAAACATTACCAAAACAACATATATCAGTGTTTGATTTTCATGCAAACACACACAACATCTGTCTGGAAATGTGATTTGGATATACAATCCTAGAGACACAACATGCACAGCAAACAAAAATGTCCATGTTTATGTATATGAAACTTCTGTTGATGTTTATTTAATAAAAATTCCTTATGCAATCACTATCTGCTGTTTATTGTAATGCACTTTATTGACTTTCAGTAGTTAACCTGGATCTTTGTACACATTGTACACCAACACAAGTTTTCTTATTCCTTAAACTCAACCCTCACAGAATGCAGGTCAGCACAAAACAAACAATCATTGAACATTTTTTGTTCCTGAAACAAAATGCATAATCTACTATTGTTCTTTCAAAGAAAATGCTTTATTTTTATTTATGGCTCAATTTTTATTGTATGTACGTATCTTTGATACATTTAAATTTAAATTAATCATTTGTCTTATTGTATTATATTTTTTGTTGTATAATTTGTTCTTTTCTTGTTCTATGCTAAGTCTGGCTTCATAGCAATGATATAAACAACTAATGCCTGGATGATGATGATAATAATAATAATAATATCTTAAAAGTATGTTATGTTACGGTAACATGTTACAGTAATGGTGTAATATCACATTATACTGTATAAGTTTTGTCTGCCACAAAATCCATGATTAAAAAAATTTATGAGAAACAGACAAATACTGTGTTAGTCTCAAAGACATGTTTGTGAAATGACAAATAACATTCAGATGACTTCAAACTTGCAGTGCCTTTTGGCATTTTTAGGGTATACAAATTTTGATAATCCAAGAGGCATAGCAAGAAGATGGCAGATTAAGTGATCCTTGTGCTCTGAGGTCAAATGACACGTTGCAGTCACCTGCTATTGTCATGGTCATGACATGGAGAACAACGGCTGACGACCAAAAATACCATCCATCAGAGAGAAAAAGTCAGAAAGAGAGAATGTTTGAGAAAGTTCTGAGAAAGTGAATGAGTGAACTTACAGTAAGTGAGAAGTGATATAGTAACTTTGCATTTTCAAGGCCACCATTCTACAAGTTTCTAGTTGTTAAAAGTGTGTGTAGAATATACAGTATATGCATATTTAAAAATAAATAAATTATAATAATACCAAGGCAATACCAATAAGACCAGTAACATATAAATAAGATAAATAAATAAGAGTCCATTTTGATTCCATGTTGACTGTTAATACAAAGAGTTTCAGTATCCGTATGTGTGAGTAAGAGTGTGTTTGATAGAGAGCATGCAGTTGTTTTCCATACCCAGAATGAGCAGGACTTGAGGACAGTGCTATGTTGTCCAAGTTTTCCATTTCCCAGCTATATGATTCCTTTTCATTTTCTCTTGCAAGAGAAGACACCTGGAGTGAATATAGGCATCTTTGTTAAAACTGGGGCTTTATCTACTAATGCAGACTTGAAATGCAGAACTCAAGAAGCCAGAATCTGTAAAAACCTGTATATTTATTTAAAAAGAAAAGGTTTACTAATCTGTTCATTAATCATATCAGTTCTATAAGGCCACCACTTGGTATCACAAATAAAAGCCATCATATAAAACATTATTTTACAATAATAATAATAATAATAACAATAATAATAAATAAATACTAATAAAAAAAAATCAACTTTACCTGGTTACTATATATCATATCCTCCATCATCCCATAATGTTTTACAGGGAAGTGTCTTTGGTAAGTGGGTGTGTAGGACCTATCCAAACTAAAGAAAAACATACAGTATACACAACATCAATCAATAGGTTGTCATCGTTACCTTTATTTATATAGCACTTTATAGACCAATTTGGTGTTTGCAAACAGTGATGACGTTTTTTTGTGGGCGGAGTCTATCTGGTGGCAGAAAATGACAGTTTTAAAGTAGCAGTCTATGGAAGCCATGGAATAAAAGAATAAAAAAGGTAATTTTGAGTTTGTATTTCAAAATTCTGACTTTTTTTCTCGCAATTCCGATATTATATTTCACAATTCTGATAAGAAAAAATCAACTTGTCATTCTCTCTTTTCCCCTCGGCTCAGAATCATGAGTTTATATCCCACACTTCTTGCTTTTTTCTCCCTAAAGAATTGACAAAATTGCAATTGTTGAGTTAAATTGAGTTATAAAGTCTGAAATAGGAGATATAAACTTGCATTTGTGAGAAAAAAAAGAATTGTGAGATAAAATAGGTAAATGTTATAGGTTTATATACTATTTCATGTCATAATAGGGCTAATACAATATTTTCCCTTTGAACTGCATTTGTGAATATTATGTAGAGCTATTGTTTAAATCAAATTTATGCTTTAAAAGTAGGGTAATCATAGCAGGTTTCATCCATTCTGTCCGTTTAAACGTCTGCGTTTAGCTTCAAATGGTATCTTTGATGACAGTATTCTTTAAAAATTATTTGTATTCCGATTCTGACATCCAAAGGCACAACAATAATTTTTTTCTCTTATTCCATGGATTTTACCCGTTTCCCTCCACTTGTTCCCAGTGTTTTTCTGCCACCACAATGCACGCGCAGCTGCGACGTAACTGTGACGTCTACTCCAAACTGGTCTATAGAATACAGACTGTGTCAAAGCCATCGTATCAAAGTATCATTACTGATAAAAAATCCATCCATCCAGTAGCAACTAGCTCTCAAAATACACTGTTTTCAAACAAAAATAGTGGATCATCTTTAAGACACACTGATATGTAGAAAGTGCAGAGTTCCTCACATACCTTTGTAAGCGACTATGTCAGCATTAGCAGACAGAAAAATAAGTGAGTTACAAATAAATTAGCAGGTTTTAGAAAACAAGTATAACCCTATTTATCAACTTGTATTTAATTAAGTATCAAAACTAACATACCTGTCTGATTGTCCTCCTTCTAAACTGAAGCGCAAGTAATTCATGCCATCCAGGTACTGCCCAGGTAGAGAGTCATCTCCTAACTCTCTCAAATCCTCTGCTCTCAAATATTCTCCACCATCACCAGTCATGGTGTCATCACCTGGTGACAGACAGATGATGTTGTTACTGTAATTACATATATCTACAAACAAATTAAAAGCATTTTTTATAATAAACTAATCACTTTAGAGAGACCTTGAGAGAAAAAAAACCTGGAAGCACATATATACACACATAAATGCACACAACCTTTATTTGACAGATTCTTCAATGTTTCAGTTTACATTTGTTAAAGATTGCATATATCAGCAAAGCCTCTATGATATGGTACGACAGCAATCTACACTGAAGCAGTCCTAGGGCATTAAAGGGGTGCATAGACCGTTTTTTGAACATTAAAGCATGTCAACATATTCTGTTACACCAAATACACAAAATAATTATCTTTAAAAAAGCCTCATATGACCCCTTTAAAGTCAAGGGTAAGTTAAAAGCAGCTCTGCCACAGTATGGCCAGCAGGGGCAGTGTCTCTAGCCCAGGGTTCCTCAATAGGCAGCCCACGGGCCAGAGAAAAAAGTTTGGCCCACGCTAATTTCAAATAATGTGGCATGAAAATTCAAACGCAGCATCAGAAAGCTACATTAACTTGCATCGTGTCTACACCAGACACGAGCGGCGCGGCACAATAAAATACAAGAACTCGTTATAATCAGTGATGCTGTCTTGGATGCGGCGCGACACGACAAATCCCCGACAGTAAACTGCTGACTCTTCTTATTTATAACGTACTGACACAACGTTCAAATGATTTGCAATGCTTTGTCGCATCCAGTGTAGATACGATGTGACAGCAAAAACATGGCGAGTGTGTAGAAAAGAAAAGTTGACACGGAAAATAGATGATTCAAATGTGAATGGACTGAACAGTTTTGAGTGAGTGAGTGAGTGACTGATATCTTTGTTATAACATACTGACACAACGTTCAAATGATTTGCAATGCTTTGTCGCATCCAGTGTAGATACGATGTGACAGCAAAAACATGGCGAGTGTGTAGAAAAGAAAAGTTGACACGGAAAATAGATGATTCAAATGTGAATGGACTGAACAGTTTTGAGTGAGTGAGTGAGTGACTGATATCTTTGTTATGGCATACACGTGTTGGTTCGCAGTGAGTTCACAGTTTTAACGTAGGCTACAAGTTTGCTTTAATTTATTTTCAAGATCTGAGGTAAACTATCTATTGTTGCTTTTACTATGGCTATAAAGATAACGCAAAATAATATTCAAACTCACATTAGACACTTTTATCTTTGAATAAAGCACATAATCATTATCTGAGATTATCGCTGTCATATTTTGTATGTTGTTCAACGAAGCGTTTGAGAGAGGCGGGGCATAGAGGACCTACAATAATGTACAGTATTTTAAAAATAATGTGTTTTTTGAACATTAAAGCATGTCAACATATTCTGTTACACCAAATACACAAAATAATTATCTTTAAAAAAGCCTCATATGACCCCTTTAAAGTCAAGGGTAAGTTAAAAGCAGCTCTGCCACAGTATGGCCAGCAGGGGCAGTGTCTCTAGCCCAGGGTTCCTCAATAGGCAGCCCACGGGCCAGAGAAAAAAGTTTGGCCCACGCTAATTTCAAATAATGTGGCATGAAAATTCAAACGCAGCATCAGAAAGCTACATTAACTTGCATCGTGTCTACACCAGACACGAGCGGCGCGGCACAATAAAATACAAGAACTCGTTATAATCAGTGATGCTGTCTTGGATGCGGCGCGACACGACAAATCCCCGACAGTAAACTGCTGACTCTTCTATTTATAACATACTGACACAACGTTCAAATGATTTGCAATGCTTTGTCGCATCCAGTGTAGATACGATGTGACAGCAAAAACATGGCGAGTGTGTAGAAAAGAAAAGTTGACACGGAAAATAGATGATTCAAATGTGAATGGACTGAACAGTTTTGAGTGAGTGAGTGAGTGACTGATATCTTTGTTATGGCATACACGTGTTGGTTCGCAGTGAGTTCACAGTTTTAACGTAGGCTACAAGTTTGCTTTAATTTATTTTCAAGATCTGAGGTAAACTATCTATTGTTGCTTTTACTATGGCTATAAAGATAACGCAAAATAATATTCAAACTCACATTAGACACTTTTATCTTTGAATAAAGCACATAATCATTATCTGAGATTATCGCTGTCATATTTTGTATGTTGTTCCTGCCACGACGTCGCAGAAAATAAAAACCGTTCCTAAAATAGAATCCCATGTCGCTTATAAAGAATGAGAATGTGACGTAACGCCACGTTGAGTTCTGGGAAACTGCTTTGTTTATCCGCCATACTTGCAGGATAGCGCTGCCTTTCTGCTATTGAGTTTAGGGCAGTATTTGATTGTTTGTCGTGATTGTGAAAAATGTCACCAGTGTATGTCATTCATGCTGCATCGAGAATTGCAACAGGAACTCAGACCATCGTTCTGAGAGAAAACTGGACAATGCAATATGTTTTTTCGCCTTTTCTATGTGTAAAAACACCTACGGAAGGAGGTCGTAGAGAAGACAGCGAATAGTAAATCTGTTAATATCACTGATTAAACCCACTGACTCTAATTCAATAAAATAATCACATTGCTGTGTGTTTTTGAACGTTTTAATTTTGTTGGTTTAATAATTACCTTCTTTGCGAGCATGACTCTCACTAGGCTTGTGGATTAGCAGAACTTGAACAGGGGACTTTCTAAAATGCTTAAGTGGCTTAATGTACCAAGACAGTGATAAAGACAAATTTGTAAAGCATATACTATGTGCAGATATGCATATAAGCTCAAAATATGAACAAAACGCGTTTATTTACACGTTAAAGAACACGCTTAATGCACACGAGACAGTACACACGTGACATATCTTATTAATAAAGCATAATATGTGCAGAAAAACAGATGAGCCCAAAATATGAACTTTAAATATCAATGTCTTAATCCATAAGCGCGTTCTACATTAGTTTTCTAAAGAGAGGGAAACTATTTACGTTTAAACATGTCGCGTTAATATTCTGGCTCATCTGCATGTCTTTTAGCAGTGTCTTACATTAAGCCAGCATTTTAAAATGCTTCAAAACTGTTAACAAGCTCCTAGGGATTTGATTTTGCTTGTCATTTGTTGAAATACATATAAAAAGTACAGTGAGTTCCTATCTGTTTGCTGAATGTGACCCACAATCTCTGATTCTCCTCGGTGGCCATGGAAAAATGAATATTTATAATGACAACAATTATACTTTGTCATTTAAAAGTTTCCAACAAAGAAATGGATGGACTTCTGTCAGCTTGTTGAACACACACTTTTATTTGGATAATCAACCATATGATGGCTGAAGCAGCAGCGAGCATTCAGCGGGCGATACTAAAACAAAAGATAAGCAGTTATCCATATAGAAAATGAGAAGTAACCATGGGAACGGATAGCGTATCCTGCTAATATGGCGGTGCCTTCCCGAAATCCAATGCGGAGTGAAAAGATTGTGACGTAACTCCTCATTCTCTATAGTCACGTGTCACTGTTGCGGGTGGTTAGGACAAAAACTACAAGGAAAAGATACTTTTTATCGCGTCGTGTCTGGTTGGGACACACGGTGTTACAGTTTGATCCCCCCCCCCCCCAAACAAAATCTAAGCAAACAAATATTAATACTGACAAATCTACTAATTGAATCTGCAATTAGGGAAAGCGGAGAGAAGAGATCCAGTCTGGGAATGAGCAGGAACAGTTGATTTGCATGGCAGACATGGAGATCCAGATTTTTTGTTTGTACATTTGTTTTTAATATTCAACAGGCAAAGTAATGCTGTATCTAAACGCAAAAAATTTCATAATTGTTTGAATAAAACAGACTACTGGAGAAAAAAAATCTGAATATTCATCTTGTGATTATTTTAACAAAAGCAACAATAATATAATAATTGTAATAATAATAAAAAAATATATATATAGGTCAGTGGCCCTTGGTTTGGTATTGTTGGCAGAATTCGGCCCTCGGCGAAAACTAATTGAGGAACCCTGCTCTAGTCTGTGCTGTAAGCCAATGAGCTGACAGTAAAGGCAAGACATACTGTTGACCGACATTGGAGTTTGGCTTTCAGTTGCATATTGGCTGCCTAAAGTGTGGAACAATGAGAAAAACAACACAGACAGTACGTAATATAATTAATAAATTATTAGCAAAAAAAAAAAAAACCTGTCTGAGTCTTAGATAGCCAGATCTCTGTCAGTCTCTCAGACGCTATAGGTGTTCAAACTTCCACACTTTTACTTTCACCCTTAAAAATCAAAACATTTGTGTTTTGTGGTTTTTAGTCAATGTCTCTTAGCGGTAACACTTTATAATAACTTTCATTAATAAATCATTAACAAACATATATAATGCTTAACGGATCATTAGTTAATATATATATTCACATAGCTAGAAACATGAGAAAATGTGCTTGTTAATGTTTACTAATCTTATTAAACATTACCTAATGGTTGACAGATAATTAATATAAATTACAATGCTTACAAATGTCATTAAACTTTTAATTCATATGATCATGTACTTCTTGAAAATCTACAAATTATTTAAACAGATGCTATACAATGATATACAAAAGCTTTTGTTAATGTACAACATTTTTGCTGCTATTGGGGTGTGATATGTGTAAGGTTAGGGATTGGTGGTATGGGTAGGTTTAAGGGTTGGGTAAGGGGTGGTCAAAAGTGTACAGGGGTCAGTTTGATTACTATAAAGGAACATGGTTCAATCTGTATACATTGTTTTACAGTATCTTCTTGAAAAATTTATAAATTTTCTTCTGCTGATGTATGATTCAAGGAATACCCTGTTTAATGATATAGTATACTAATATAAGTGTTGAGGCAATAAAAAAAACATGTTTTGCTCCCAAATTACAATGTGTCTTTAAGAAGCATTTATATAAACTTAATTAACCTTTTACACAAACGTTGTTACAGCAACTAAAAGTCCAATGCCCATAAAGGTACTGAATGATAAGTAAACATTTATAAACATTTACAAAT